CTACACGGTGCCTGTTGTAGCTTTACTGTTACTCCAAGTGGATGACAGTTGTGTGAGCCTGCCTCTTAGTATTTGATTTGCAAAACTGAGTTGCAACTGTTGACTCTAGACATAAAAGTAGTAGTTGTAGACTGACTTTGAGAAGTATTGAAATGGCCCAGGCTCAGTAGTGCATACCTATAATCCTAGCGATTGGGTAGTGGGAGCAGGAGAACCGGAGGTTCAAGGCCAGCCTGAGCTATGTGAGGCTGTCTCAACCCTCTATTCCCAAAAGAAGGCAAGGAAGGAAAAAAAAAATTGAACTTGTCTGAATGGCACAAAGATTCTTGGGTTCCCCCTCTCATGTAACAGAAATAACACTTGTCTGCAATTTTACAAATAGATAGCCATACTCAGTAGATCTGTTGGTACCATCAACTTCTCTGGGCAATCACTATTATCTGTGTTATGGCTTTCAAACATGTGATACTTGATGTATCTATTTTGGGTAGAAGTCTGGCAGCTTCTTATAAAAGCAAATATACACTTACATCCCAGCCCAGCAGTTCTCCTATGTGTTTACCCAAGAGAAATGAAAACATGTCCACAAAAACACTTGTACAAGAATGTGCATAGTAGTTCTATTTGTAATAGCTCTAAACTGGAATGTCAGTGGCAAACCATATCCTAGTAACATTCTAGTTTTTTGTTGCTGTTGTTTAAATTCTAATGACTTGGATAAAACTTTGCAAGACCAGTCAGCATCTCAGCAGGCTGCACTACAATAAAATAAATGAAAGAAGACATGTATGAAGCTGTCAGAATGAAAGATTAAAATTCAGATATACTAAATATTTTCAACTCACTGTGATCTATATAATTACTTTAAAAAAAAGTATACCTGCCTCTGCCTTAGACCTATAAAATTAAGACTGTAAACAGAATGGTTACTTATCAAGTAAAAGTTTTTGATCACAGAATCGTCTGAGCTGTCTGTCATGTCAGGTCCCTGTGGGTAATTAGAAAATTTGCAAAGTAGTGAACCAAATCATAAGGCTCAAAATGCTGAGGGTGTGGTGTGTGCTCAGGGCTGCTCCCCACTCCCCACCCCCGTTTTGTCTTTTTGAGCCAGTGCCTCATATTGTAGCCCAGGCTGGCCTCCACTTCACTGCCATGCTCTGGCCCAGCCTTCTGATGCTAGTGGTGTGTATCCAGGTTTGATGAAGCTGGTTATTATGTTGAAGAACTTGGTCTTTATCCCAGATTTCAAACATGATCTTTAAAACCCTGGGATTTTCTGGATGTTAGTCTTTGTTATGCTGATGAAGGCACTAAGATCCCTGGCTTCAGAATGAGGACTGATTCCCTGAGAGGCCACCCAAGTCTCAGTGGTTTAGGGATGTTGAACTCTGTTGATTTTCACAAAAGGCAGAAGGGGTTGTAAATTGAGTCCCTTGAGCAGCCTAAGATTCAATCAAGCATCACTGGAAGATGAGACCCCAGTACAAACTAAGCTGTTTCTTAGTGGGCCCCCAGGCTATGCACAGATGTGCTTGCCCTGACCCTAGGACCTAATAGAAATCCCAATCCCTCCTGGATCTGTGTTTCCTTTCTGATTCAGAATCCCAAGTACAGCTCTCCTGAGTTCTGTTGGGCTTATCTATTGAAAGATGGGAGCTGAGGGCTGAGGAGCAAAATATTTCCAAGACACAGCAGGGACCCAGCCTCCTACGGTGGGAGGCTGTATTTTACCTGGTGGCAGGACTACATTTTACAGTTAAAGCAGAACCAGAGTGGCAGGATGGGATGGGACCGGTTTCTTTGAGAGACAAGGTAAACATAAGCCAGATTTCTTGCTTCTTAGTTGTATAGATAACACATGAACTAGACCTCAAGTAAGCCTTTTTTTCTTCTTTTCTATTTTTTGAGAGTAGATGCAGTTGATTAGGTTAAACTTGAAACCTTAAGTTTGCTGTGAAACCTCATTGCAGTTCCATTCCAAACATGTTTCTAGTCTGTTGCTGGAGTTTTATTTTTATCTTATCAACTCTGAGCAGCTAAAGGCGCCTCCTGAATTGGAACCTGAGACCAACATGCTAGAGAAGAGGACCTTAGAGTTGCCCTGCCTGCCACAGGTGTGCCTTTGCACACACACACAATAGTAAATGGGAATGTAAAAACAAACCTTGACTTTCTGAGTTTTCCTTTCTGTCAAGTGAATACTTAGCTAGGTACTACACTACGGTCAACTTCTTTTGGGGGGACGGGAGTGGAAGTCAGGACACTAGATTAGAGCCAAACTAGCAAGGCCTGTGTTTGCAGCCATCCTGGCTCACTGATTGCAGCTGGAGCTCTGTCTCCTCATCAGGAACAAGGGAGGTGCAGTTTGAAAATTGGGCTTCTCAAAAATAAAAGTCTGGACTGGTAATGAAGTACTGGCCAATTATCTTCGAGACCCTGGGCTCAAACCGCAGTATGACAGGAAAAAAAAAAAAAAGAAGAAAAAGCCTTGTGCTGAGATCACAGCTGTGACTTACCATCCCTGGCTATGATATTTCTTCAGAGAGAGAGAGAGAGAGGAGAGAGAGAGAGAGAGAGAGAGGAGAGAGAGAGAGAGAGAGAGAGTTGCATGCATGCATGAAAGTGCACCACCACAAGCTTGCCTGGTGTCCTTCAAGGGCAGAAGAGGGCATTATACTTCTAGAACTGGAGTTAAGGATGGGTGTGAACCACCAATGTAGATGTTGTGACTTGAACCTGGATTCTTTACAAGAATAACAAATGCTCTTAATTGCTGAGCTGTCCCTCTAGCCCCATTTCTTCAGAATTTTTAAGTCTGTTAGGTTCTTTTGGTTGCTGGTGATACTTTGTGGGGGTTTTTTTGTTTTATTTTGTTTTTGTAGCCCTGGCTGTCCTGGAACTCTCTCTGTAGATCAGGCTGGTCTCAAACTCACAGAAATCCTCCTGCCTCTGCCTCCCAAGTATTGGTATTAAATGCGTGCACCACCAGTTCCCAGCAGTGCTTTGTGTTTTTAAGGTGGTATTTTGCTCTGTGTTCTAGGCTAGTGTCCACTTGCAGTCCTGCCTCAGTCCCTCCGATGCTGGGATTACAGGTGTGCAATGTTAGTTTCTTCCATTGGATAATAACTTCAAATCTCTTGAAGGATTTTAAGCCAGCAAGTATTTATCAGTAATGTGATAGAAGGGTTGTGCTAGAACACAGCCTTAGGCTGTTTGTTGACTCTGGTTATCATTTCCTTCGAGCACCTAGAACTGAATGCTTCACTCTGCTACCTCTTCTGGAGGCAGTGGCTGTTTCTTTTCTCACTGTAGCACATGACTCACATGTGAGATTGGTTTTTTGTTGTTGTTTTCTTCTTTTTCTGCAGCAGGACCGAAGTGGGGTGGGAAGTGATGCTTCCTGAAGGTGACATCTGTCTCTCTTCCTTCTGTCCTCTCTTTCTCTGTATCTCCTGGTAACTGGGAGGAAGGGTAGGATGCTAATCTAAATTAACATGGAATTGGTTAGATTGTCTCCCTTTGAAGTGGATTCCTGGCCTGCAATTGAGAAACTTTGTCTAGCTTTGGGCATAATCTGTTTTGGGATCTTGTTCTTTGAAAATCCAAGAAAGTTGTGTATCAACTTGTGGGGTTCGGTCAAATAAGTATGTTCAAATTTCATTATTGTGGAAATTGATAAGCCTTAGCATTGTTTCTGTGGGAGTCCTCTTAGGAATCCCTGCCATGTCTCTGCTAGGAAGGGACTTAGGCATATATTAAGATGGGAATAAAACTACTAAGATGTCAACTCAGTAGAGTTGAATATTCTTTAGTTTTTCCTTAGCATCCCCCATCACTTTTAAAAACATTTAAATATAAATAAAAGACTTCAACTATATTCTTATATATAAATTTGAGGATAGTCATTTCTAATGTTAGAATTTTGAATGTAGGTGATGAGGGGAAAATACTGATTATTTTTGGTGTTCCCAAAACAAATCATTGGCTTGGGATAGATTGTGTTTCCCAGTTATAGGGGTGGGATTCAATTTGTATGTTGAAATGTATCTGTCACATGGTGCTGTGTGCCTAGCCGAAGAGCTATGCCCTGGAGCGCAGTGCTTGCTTCTGGCCTTGTCCTCCTCTGCATGTTTGCATGAGCCGTTCTATTTAACCAGTGTTTTCCAAATCTCATTGAATTTCATCTTTGATTTTTTTTTTTTCCTTCTCTGCACATTTCTTGGTGGTTCTTTGATTCAACTCACCCTTTAAAACAAAAATGTAAAGCCAGGTGTGGTGATGCTGTGCTTTAATCCCAACACTCAACAGGTGGGTCTCTGAGTTCCAGACCAGCCAAGGCTGCATATCAAGACATTGTCTCAAAAAAAGCTACAAAAACAAAAACCAACAACAACAAAACCGTAACCACTTTACTGTATATCAAGTGTCTGAAATACAGGTATAGAGGAAGTTTTTTGGTTTAAGTTTGTCATTTAAACATACAAGTATTTTCTGGGAAGTTGTCCCACCTAGAGTCATCTTAGTTTTGAGGGTATGAAATTCTTCTTGGGAAATACTTCCCCATGTGTTGGACTTTTAAAGCTCTTTGTTTTTTGTTTGCTTGGTTTTGTTGTTGTTTTTGTTTTTTGAGGCAGGGTTTTTGTTGTTTTTGAAAACCCTGACTGTCCTAGAACTTCGTCTGTAGACCAGGTTGGCCTTGAACTCACAGAGATCTGCCTGTCTCTGTTTCCCCAGTGCTGGGATAAAAGGTGTGCATCACTACCACCTGGCTAAAGTTCTAACTTTGAGCCAGAATATGAGTAGTGGAAACTTCTTTGTTGGAAAGACAAGATGAGAGGAGAAGAGCTCACTGGATCTGTGGGAGCTGCTCCCCAGAATTTCCCTTGTTAGGGGCGTTCTGTACCCTCAATATGAGGCTACTCAGCTACGCGCATGGCAAAGCATGGGCTCATAGCCTTGCAATGAACAGTTGGTTTGCTCTAGCCTGTGTATATCTCCACATTTCACCTGTGTTCATCTCTCCTGCAGGTCTGATCTTGCTCTTCTACCTAGTTTTTTATGGGTTCTTGGCTGCACTCTTCACATTCACAATGTGGGCCATGCTACAGACCCTGAATGATGAGGTTCCGAAATACCGAGACCAGATTCCTAGTCCAGGTAAACATCACAGCTTATAGAGGTTAGACTTAGAGTTTGGGAATGTGAATGATTCATTTCATACTTGAATGGTGGTTTATTTCAAGACTTTCACAATCATTTACTGGTAAGTTTTGAATCCTTTGGCAGGAATAAGCAGAAATGAATGTTGGAATTTCAGTGAGGTGAGTTGGAAAAGTTAGAAAGAGTTTGAATGCAGGCGGGCCTTGGTGGCTCATGCCTTAAATCCCAGCTCATGCGCGCGCGCGCGCGCGCGCGCACACACACACACACACACACACACACACACACACACACACACACACACACACACACAGAGTTCATAGTAAGACAGCATTTTTTGGTGTTTGTTTTGTTTTTCATTGGAATTCAATCTGTAGACCAGGCTGGCCTCAAACTCACAGAGATCCACCTGCCTCTGCCTCTGCCTCCTGAGTGCTGGGATTAAAAGGCACACAACACCTGACAAAACAGTAAGGAATGATGGTTATAATTAACTGAAAATAATAAAATTTAGACTTTCTAATTAATTTGTCTAACTAGTTTTAAAGATTTGAGTTCTTTTAGATGTTTTTTCATAATGGGATCCAGAGAGTTGTTAATTGTGACATATCTGTGGACAAATGGCTCTCTTCTGGAATAAGCAAGGAAAGAGAATTTCTTACTGTTAATAACCCTCCCTGTCTCTTTTTAGGACTTATGGTTTTTCCAAAACCACCGTCTGCCTTGGAGTATACATACAGCATGTCTAAGCCACTTACTTATGAAAAGTTCACTGAAGACCTGAAGAGGTTCCTAGAGCGTAAGTGTGCTGTCCCAGAAGAGGGAGAGCTTGTAGTTCCTGCAGAACAGTGCCTCATGGAACTGCCTTTAGAAGCAGCATTTTTAGCCTGTTTTCTATTTTTGTTCTCCCCTTTCAAACACAGACAGCTAGATCTGCAACTAAGCTGTCAGTTGTAAGAATAAAGCCAAGTCTGTCCTGTAAAGCAGTGCCTCTGAGTGTCAGAATCTTTTCTGTGGTGCTAGGAATAGAACACTGTGCCTCACGTGCTGGGCAAGTGCTCTCCCACTGTCTAGGTCAGATTTTTAATATATTTGTTAGAGTCACCAGTAAGTAGTGCTCTAAAATAAGCACTATAGCCAATATCTTCCTTGTTGTCCCTGGCTTAAGCAAATTCATGTGAATATAATAACAATCAAATGAATGACTGGTAAAAGCTTTGGTTTACTTGATTACCTTGTCCCTTCTCAGTCATTATAAACCATAGTTGTTCCTGAGTTACCAAGTCATTGAGCAGCTTTCCCAGTGCCACCATCTGTCTTTGTAGTTTGTTCAGTTTTCTTCCAGTGTCCTGTGCTGGTGGCTCTTCTCTTGCTGATGGTCTCACTGACCTCAGCCCCTTTCCTCTAGCATTCTTTCCCATCTAGTTTTGTTTGTTTGAGATGGGGTTTCTTTGTGCAGTCCTGGCTGTCCTGGAACTAGCTCTGTAGACCAGGCTGGCCTCTAACTCACAGACTTCTGCCTGCCTCTTGAGTACTGGGATTAAAGGCGTGCGACACCATGCCTCACCCCATCTAGTTTATTAGCATTTTTACTTCATTTTTACTTTCACAGGCATTCTAAAATTCCTTGTCTTTACGTCTGCCAGTTACTTGTGAGCCCTGCTCTGGATAAAACCACATAATTCCTCAATTAGGCTCCTTCTCTGATCCTGGTTAGAGCAGCCACAGGATGAAGACAGGACTGGGCAGTGGTCAGCACCACCTCTCTCAGGTGGCCATGCTTGACTGCCTGGTAACCAATTGCCCTTCTCTGACTCGAATGCTCTGATTGCTGCTAGCCTTTACTCAGCCCTCTGACCTTTTTCCTCTCCCTGTAGCTTATCTTCTTCATATTACACAGTATCTCTGCACAACGACAGAAGAAAGAACAGTTGGGGCTGTAGCTGTCAGTGCTTGCCTGACGTGCAGGCACCTGGGCTTCCTTCCACTTGCTTCACATTTGCTGTGGTGCCTCCTCATAACCTTCATTGGTTGGTGGAGGCAGGATGAACAGAAGTTGAATAGCATCTTCAGTTAAATAGGAAACTCAAGGTCACCTTAGGCTGCCTGAGACCCAGTCTCAGAAGAAGAGACAATAAGCACTCAGGCAGATATTCTTATAGTCTCCCCATTACTAGTAAACACCTGTACTTGCCACCATGTTGTTGGTCAAATTTTTTCATGTGAGGACACATGGGGGCTCTAGTCCCCTCTGTCTCAGAACCATCATACTAGGCTACACTCTTGAATTCTTGTCAACTACTTTATTTATTTATTTGTTTGTTTGTTTGTTTTGGTTTTTCAAGACAGGGTTTCTCGGTGTAGCCTTGGCTGGAACTAGTTCTGTGGGGCCAGGCTAGCCTCAAATTTAGAGATCGGCCCGCCTCTGCCTCTGGAGGGTGCCAGGATTAAAGGCAAGACTCACTACCCCAGCTGAGCTGTGAGCTTTTGAAGGCTGGTTGAGCTACCTAGGTGACACTAAACCCTTGAAAGATGAGGGAGGTAGGGAGGGAGCCAGATAACTGTCTAAAGTCACTGTGTTCAAGGTTCATCGGGGAGGGAGAAGAGCTGGATATAGCAAGCTAGGAAGTAGTAGGGGATGGACATTGGTGTATAAAGGAGGACCAGGTCCGTCTGTCCGTGCCCCCCTCCCCACCCCACCCCCACCCCGAGACAGACAGACAGACAGACAGACAGACAGACAGACAGACACACACACACACACACACACACACACACACACACACACACACACACACACACAGAGGGTTTCTCTGTAATAGCCCTAGCTGTCCTGGAACTAGCTCTGTAGACCAGGCGTGTGCCACCATCGCCCAACTATGGACCAGGTTTTGAAGGTCCTTCAGAGGCCAGTTGTATTTCTTGGCTTCTATAATTGACCGAGATGGGAGGTTTAAGAAGAGGACATGCATGGATTGAACTCCTGTTTGAAGAATTGCTAGGGTGGCTTTTGAAACTAGACTGCAGAATGGAAGCTATTTTCTGTTTTTGTTTAAGATTTATTTATTATGTATACAGTGTTCATATATGTATGTATACTGCCTGTATGCTTGCCCACCAGAAGAGTGCACCAGATCTCATTATAGATGGTTGTGAGCCACCATGTGGTTACTGGGAATTGAATTCAGAATCTCTAAAAGAGCATCCAGTGCTCTCAAACTCTGAGCCATTCTCTAGCCCTGTTTTCTATATCTTTAATGTAAGGTTTTCTTTCCTGAGGTAGAATCTACCCCAAACTGGCCTGGAACTTATTATGGCTCTCTTGCCTTAATACTGAGTGCTGGGCTTATAGGCATGAGTCACCTCAAGCTTGCATTTAAATTTATCTCAAATTAAAATTAAATTTGGAGATAAAATTAAAATGCTGTTTTGGATTTCATTCTCCAAACCATTTTTCTGGGAGGTGAAGATGCTTTTCAGTTTAGCCTTCAGTTACCAGAAGCATTCTGTACTCAGCTGTTTGCAGGTTCTCTAGTATTATAGTGCTCTGGTTTTTTGTTTTTTTTGTTTCGTTTTGTTTTATTTTGTTTTTTGGTTTTTCGAGACATGGTTTCTCCGTAGGTTTTGACACTGTCCTGGAACTCTCTTTGAAGACCAGGCTGGCCTCAAACTCACAGAGATCCACCTGCCTCTGCCTCCCGAGTGCTTGAACTAAAGGCATGCGCCACCACCGCCTGGCTATAGCACTCTGTTGTAACTGACATTTCTCTCATTTCTGTTTATACTTAAAAAACTTTCCAGGGCTAACTGTATCTTTTAATCCCCTTAGACTTTCATTTTTAATTAATTAATTAATTAATTAATTAATTTATTTATTTATTTATTTTTAGGTTGGGAGTATAGTGCATGTGTTTGTCAACCAAAAGGAGTAGCTCTCTCGTGCTCTCTCTCTCTGGTATAGATTCTGGAGATTGGGTTCAGGGCATCAGGCTGGTAGTAGCTACCTTATTTAATGAACCATGTCACCTGCACTGGTTTGTTTTTAAATATTCACCTGTCATTGTTGATTCTTATGAATTTCCTTTTCATCTCTAAAAGACAAATAACTGGTTTAAAAATAAAGGTTTTTCCCCTCCTGGTAGATTCTACATTGAAAGTTTTATTTTGTTAAAATTATGTTTTTCGCCAGGCGTTGGTGGCGCACGCCTTTAATCCCAGCACTCGGGAGGCAGAGGCAGGCGGATCTCTGTGAGTTTGAGGCCAGCCTGGTCTCCCGAGCCAGTGCCAGGATAGGCTCCAAAGCTACACAGAAAAATCCTGTCTCGATAAAACAAAACAAAACAACCAAAAAACAAAAAAAAAAAAAAAACCAAAAAAAAAAAAACAAAAAAAAAAAAAAAACCAAAAAAAAAAAAACAAAAAAAAAAAAAAAACCAAAAAAAAAAAAACAAAAAAAAAAAAAAAACCAAAAAAAAAAAAACAAAAAAAAAAAAAAAACCAAAAAAAAAAAAACAAAAAAAAAAAAAAAATCCATCTCACTCTTACTCAAGTGCTCCTAAAGTGTGTGGGACTCTGGTTCTCTGAAATCAGTACTGTCTATATTCCCATCATGCCTCACACCTCATAGCTCCTTGCATTTCATTTTGTGTAGAAACAAAAGTCTGCTTGACAAGCAGTCTAAACAGCACCCTTTGCTACAGAAGACGATACCCCGGAGAAATGGGTGGAGGAGGAGTGATGGGAGTTGGAGTTGCCTCAGATAATCTCAGTCTTTCTTTGTTTTTAAGCAAATACATGTTATTGGGGTGTAGCTCAGGTAGATGACGTGTTTAGCACATGTGAAGCCTGGAGTTCAGACTCTACCATCCCTCTCAAAGATGGATTCCCTTGTGTTGTAGTTTGCTTTCTGTTGCTGTGAAAACCACCACCACCAAAACCAAGTCAGGGAGAACAGGGTTTGTTGAAGCTCAGCAGCTTATAATTCATCCTTGAGGGAAGCTGGTCAGGACAGGAGCTGATGCAGAGACTGTGGATGAGAGCTGCCTACCTGCTCGCTCAGTTACCTTTTTTATACAGCCCAGGTCCACCTGCTGGGGGGCGAGTGGTGGGGGACTGTTCACAGTAGGTTTGGCCCTTGTACATCAATTAGCAGTTAAGAAAATTCTCACAAACACTCTCCTAGTTTGATGGAGGCTATTCTTTCAGTTGAGTCTCGCTCTTCCTTGGTGTGTGGAAATGGCAGCCTAGATTAGCCATTACTACTTTTGAGATAACTTTTTATCCACAATGTATCTAAAACAAACAAAATCCCTACTACATTTCCTTCCGAAAGTGTTCCTGTTTGTGTTGAAATAGATGGCCTTTTTGTGGTACAGGTTGTATCTACCCAACAATAGCTGTCACTAGGGTATTTTCACGGTGTATCTTAATCTGTGTGGCTTTCACTAGACCAGGCTCACTGAGGGAGGAGCCCCTCTTCTCCTTCATGCCACTGAATGCCATTAGTGTAGCTGGCCCAGAGGGAGATAGTATTCTGTGCCTGTATTTCTCCCCTTTCCTCCTCTCTGGCTCTTAAACCAATGCACCCGCTTACCTCCCTTGTTACCATGCTCAGCACAGCTTTCTTAGCTGTGCTGAGAAATTAGAGTCTCTTTCACTTTCTAGGGGCCTGTTCTTTTCTGGATGGTTCTGTTCTGCATAGCACAAATACTGACATAGATGCAGTCAAACCTTGTGACCTGCCTGGTATACATCTTTTAATGGAGCATCACAGTTCTTTTTTGTTTGTTTGTTTGTTTGTTTTTGTTTTTCGAGACAGGATTTCTGTGTGGCTTTGGAGGCTGTCCTGGAACTAGCTGTTGTAGACCAGGCTGGTCTCAAACTCAGAGATCCACCTGCCTCTGCCTCCCAAGTGCTGGGATTAAAGGCGTGTACCACCAACGCCTTTAATGTTGGCTGCATCACCAACACCCGGCTGCATCACGGGTTTTTTTGGCAGACCTTCTGCCTCAGTTCTTCACATAGTTTTTACAAAATTTACGTGGTTCAGCTTCTGCCAGCAACCTTTACACTCACACATCCTCCCTGCTTAAAGGTCAGTGTAGCCCCCTTGCCATAAACTGTGAGTGCTGTTTCTCTCCATAGCCAAGGAGTGTTGAATTACACTGTGCTCCCAACTAGACTGTAAGCCCCAGGGGACAGTAGCAACACCTTTGCACATCCTTGTCATTGTCGCAGAGGTCAGGCACATAACAGCATTTTCTGACACTGGTGTAGCTGTTGCTGGTACCAGGCACTGTAGTGAAGCAACTCTCCAGCCCGGGCATTCTTGGATGCCTAAACTTTAGGGCACTGTAACTGTTACCAGGCAAAGAAACTAATGTAGCCTCTACTGCATGCTTGCTGTTGTTAACCTGGTAGTTCACATTGCTGTTGTTATCTTTGAAAAACAATCATTCAGGGAATGGTTTGACTTGTTTCTGGTTGTGTTTGGTATCTTTTCTTAGCTGATCCAGCACACTCATGTTTCCTTTGTAGCATATTCTCTAGAAGAACAGAAGAACCTCACAAACTGTCCTGATGGAGCACCTTTTAAGCAGAATGGTCCAGTTTATCAAGCATGTCAGTTTCCAGTTTCCTTGCTTCAAAATTGTAGTGGTATGAGTGATACTGATTTCGGCTATTCCAAAGGACAACCTTGTGTTCTTGTGAAAATGAACAGAGTACGTACTTACTTTCCCTCTGCTGTTGCTTGCTTCTAATAGTCATGCACATGGGACACAGCTGTTAGGCTGGTAGCTGCTTTCTAGACTGCTGTGCCCGAGTTAATGCTTTATTAAGCAACATCTCCTTGGGATAACAATTAAATAGTGGAAGTTTAAATAAACCCATATACTAATGAGCATAATACAATGTTGTAGTTATAGCCAGTGCTAGTGGGATGTTTCAACAAGACATAACTAAGGCCAAAACAGTAAGCCAGAAGGAATGCGGGACTTGTTCTGTGCTATAAGGTGAGTTAATGCGTTCATTTTAATGAGGATGTCTTCAGTAACACTGGCCTGCAACATCTGTCTTCACTATATTCGCTATATTGCTGAAAAATCTACTCCCTGTTCAGAGGACCACCATCTGAGTTTATTTTCTTAGAAGTGGCCTTTGCATGATGGGAATTAGAGGCCATGCTTGCTTTATCGGCTGGCCTTGCAGGCTCACAGGGCAGCATCAGATGCAGCTGGCAGGGTTTTCATCAGTATGCTTCCAGAGCTGTTACAAGTAGAAGACGGGGTACTGCTGTCCATATCATTCTATGGGCTTCAACAGCTTGACTTTTGGCGGCCTCTTTATATCTTGCAAACCTTTGCATAGACCTGGATTTGAATTCAGAATGGAAAATGACAAAACCTTAGAAGATGGGGCTGGTGATAAAGGCATTTGCCACTAGCTCCCCATTCCCCACATGGTGGCTGAAGAGAACCAGATCATGCAGTTTGTCCTTCCTCTTCCACATGTACCCCCCTCCCCCCCACACACATGTAAATAAATGAAAAAAAAAATTTTCAGAAGATGGGGGACTACAAATCTAGACGTCGATCCAAAGGCTGGGGTTACAGCTCAGATTTAATGTTTACCTGGTATGATCAAGGCCCTGGTTTGATCTTAGCACCACAAAAACCTACTGAGAGGGAGCTGTAAGTTGGGATTCTTCTCAGTATGTGCCTTTAGGAGAAAGGGATAGTCAGCCCCATGTTTTCATGATGAATATTTTATTGTGAGTGAGTGTGGTGGTGCACACCTGGGATCCCAGCATTTGGGAGGCGGAGACCTTTTCTCAAACAGAATAATTTGTTACATTTTGCCCCTGTAATTTAAGGATTTGTTTTTTTAAATGTGGCAAAGTACATGACTGAATTGCTTTAGTACAGTACTTAGCTACATTGGAAGGTTTGTTTTTATGTTGTAAAACACAGGTTAGTATGACTGAGTTGAATATTTAGAGTGGTGTTAATCTAAACCAGCTGCTGTGTCCTGGCCCCCAGCAATAGAAGAGGGTTCCATTGCATTTATATGTGCTCATTGACTCCTCCATGTTTCTTAACCTTAGATAATCGAATTAATGCCAGACGGATCTCCACAGATAATATGTGATACAAAGGTCAGTATTTAAATCACTAAAGCTTTCATGTTTCGTTTTTCTTTGTTTCTTCTTCCAGACAGGGTTTCTCTGTGTAACATCTCCGGCTGTCCTTGGAATTCTTTTTGTAGACCAAGCTGACCTTGAACTCAGAGATCCACCTGCCTCTGCTTCTTGAGTGCTTAAAGGTGTGTTGCTACCACTGCCCTGGTACTTTCATGTTTTTTTAAAGACTTAAAAATAAGTATCACCAGGTGATCCTGTATTTGCTAATACAACATTAAAAAAGGACAACGTCTCCTTGTTTATTTTGCACATACTTGTTTCACATAAACTGCATTTCATCAATCCTAGGATGTGTGCTTTCTACTTAGGTAATGAAGTTGGCATTACAACCCTATGGGTCCCTTCTCTATCAGGATTTTTTCTTTCAAGTCTAAAAATTAGTGTGCTTATTATCAGTGTCACCTGGGAATTAATGAACTCTTCTGTTTTTCTGTAAGGTAGAGGCATTCTTTTTCTTGTCTTCCTTTTTTCCTCCTAGAAAAGTGCTATGCATGTCCATCCTATAACTTGTTTTCTTTCCATGTTACAAATACAACTAAGACAAATGTGTAAACAGTGGGGGCAAGTGTTCTGAAGAAGCCCTCTTACGCTCTAAATGTGTCCGGGTGCTATACTAGCATTTATCTCCAGTTGCATGGCAGAACAAGCTACCTAAAATGTTGCACTGAACTTGCTTTTAAAGGTGAAGAGAAAACACAATTTCTTAATCAATGATGACTTTCTTACTTGGGCAGAAACTTTGCTGTGCAAATGTCATCATGCCACAAAATCACTTGGACTTGTTGATCCCCTAGTCCTATAGTTCTGACTCAGTAGTCCTTGGGAAGAGTCCAGGATTTGTGCTCCTGAGTTGCAGGTGCTGCTGCTGCTGTCCAGGTCCCCCCTGAGCTGCTGCTTAGAACTGCCTTTTGATTGTTACCCAGTGTTTAGAGGTGGGTGTGGGTGTTACCTCCTCATGCCACACTCAGTTCTGTGAGAAACGTTGAAAACTGGAATCCTAACTGGGTGTGGTGTCACATGCCTGTAATGTCTGCACTTGGGATAATGAGACAGGAGAATTCAGAGTTTGAAGCTAGCCTGAGTACATAGTAAGATCCTCCCTTAAGGAGGACTTGGTGGTGCTTGCCTTTAATATGAGCACTAGGGAGACCAAAGCAGGCAAATCTCTGAGTTTGAGGCCAGCCTGGTCCACATAGTGAGTTCTAGGCCTGCTCAGGCTACCTAGAAGGAAGCCTTACCTGCTAAGGAAACCCTGTGCCCCCAAATTAAACAAAACAAGAGAAAAACCATATCTTTGGAGTGGGGCGGGGATAGGCCCTGGTGCTGTGGTGCACACCTTTAACCTGCACAGGTTGAGGAACGTGGATCTCTCTGAGTTTGAGGCTACATAGTGAGATCCTGTCTCGGAAAGGAGCTTTATTTAAAATAAAACTACATGCAGGCTGTCACGTTAGCTAAAGGGTTTCTGTTAACTCAGTGTTTGGGGTAGGGGTGTGCCCAAGGGCAGTGGCGTGCATGTGTGAGTTGGGAGGACAAGCTCATTTACTGTGTGGGCTCTGGGGATCAGCCTGGGGCTGTCATCCTTAGCAGTGGACAGCTTTATCCTCTGAGCCATCTCATCTGCTCAGTACCTGAACTTCTCTGGATAAATTCTTCTAAAATTGTAGTTACCATACACTTCTGAGCTCTTAATATGAAAGCAGTCACATTAGTGTCATGTTTAAAGTAGGTTCAGTGAAAACTATTAATGTGTTAACGTGGAAACACACTTATCAGTGTGACTTTTTCTTCATGTAAAATGTAAAAATAATTTTTTGTTGCTTTTTCAAGATAGGGTTTCTCTGTGTAACAGCCCTGGTTGTTTTGGAGCTCGCTGTGTAGATCAGGCTGGCCTTGAACTCACAGAGATCCTCCTGCCTCTGTCTCCCAAGTGCTGGGGTTAAAGGGATGTGCTACTACGCCCAGGGTAAAATGTCAAATTTGAAGTTTCGTTTTTCAACACTAGGGATTGAATCACTTAACACCTACCTGGCATGCTAAGCACACAGTGCTAGTGAGTGACACCTGCCATGAACACCCTGGTTAGGAACACACCTTTTGGGGTGGTCATTCTTAAATGTGGCCATTGTTTCTTAGTCATTATCTACTGTTTTTCATACCATTTTATAGATCATTAGAATTTGAGTTTTCTTGTCTCTTTTTGCTCTTTGTTTTGCTACGTAATGATAAATGCTATTATACAACATGGACTACATAGTCAGAGCCTGTCTCTAAAAACAAAAGCCTATAGAACACCAGCTTTGGGAGGGTGTCATACCCAGTGCCTTCCCTGTCTCCTGCTCATGAGTGTGGTGATTATGTCTCATGAGTGCGTGAGGTCACAAGGTAAAGAAGCAGAGAGCAAGGCTGCTGTCTATGTAATCAGAGGTTGCCGCTCCTTCTCAGAAGTAGACACCACAGACTGGCCTGCAGATTGGCAGTAGCAAGTGTGTCCCACGCATACAAACTCATAGCACCACACAGAAGTCTTAAGATCGAAAGCCTAGATGTTGAGTGATGCTTGTCAGCATAGGGCTGGCTTGTTGGGGTTTGTGTTTGTTTTAGTGCTAAGGATCCATTTGGGTGCCCATGAATGGGATACTTAGTGATTGACTTATTTAGAATTTGGTGCTTTTCTCTGTTTATTCATGGAAACTACGGATGCCTTTTCTGTTTGTTGCATTGTGGGTTATCCTGATTACAGTTGTTATGGTTCTGAACTGTAGCCTCTACCTAATTCTAGGTCTGAATGATGCTTTCTTGGTTGTTAGCTTATGGATGTCATTACTTTCAGTTTGGAGGCGCAGTATTTCATTCATTAGGAAAACCTCTGCCCAAACTTACTGATGCATTTTTGCTGTCAGTGGCCAAAGAGCTGGGTTTGTACAGAGGGGGTGAATAACAGTTCATGGGTAGCAGAACCCACTATAACTGAGAAGAGACTAGGATGGGTCAGGAAATGTAAGAGGCACCAGGATAGTTTTATGTTGAAGCATTTGATTATGTAATATTTATAGTCAAGATAAGCAGCCAGGTAAGGTGGTGCATTCCTGAAATCTTAGCACTTGGGAGGCACATGTGGGCAGATTGGCATGGCCTTAAGACAAGGCTGGGCTACACAGTGAGACCTGTCTCAACAGCAAAGACAAGCAGTTCTCAGAATCACACTTGTAATTAATGTGATTGAAGCACCATCATAGTTTCTTCAATGTCGTCATAACTGCTATCAGTAATTGTAAACATTGGAAAAAATCTTTACTGTGACCTAACAAGGATTTATTTTGCTTTCAACCCTAGGATGCAGGCATAGCAAATATATTAACTTATCCTGACCGTGGACTTATAGACTTAAAGTATTTCCCATATTACGGGAAAAAACGGCACGTAAGTATTTAGAGTCATCTCTTAGGAAACTGCATGTACTGAGATAGCCCATCTGTGGTGGCACACTCCTGTGTGTTGTCGTTTGTTCATCATCCACATTGTCTCTTGGTTTTTGACTAACGGGGAGGGCTGGTGGAGATGGACACTGGTGGCACAGCAGAGCACGTGTCTAGACTAGAGGATGGCTGCTTTCAGAGTACTGGTTTTGCTTTTGTTTGGAAAGTAGTAGGTACAATTCACTCATCATTTAGACACAGCAGGGTTTTGTGATTTTTAAGATTCTGAAAAAAAAAAAAAGATATATATATATACAAAAAAATTCTAGAAAGTTTTGTCATGTCATTTAATTTACTTTGAAATTATTCCCAACTCAAAATGGCTAAAATAGTATGTTTTCTGAAAACATGTACCAGATTTTAATACTATATCTTACCTGTCTGTGCATTTTTTCACTTGTGCATTATCAGGCTAAATGACAAGCATGGCTCCTTTATAAGTGCCTTTCTTGTGAGACGCCATGCATGCTGTGGCATCTTGGCAGCCTGGGATCTGGAACAACTCCTTGGCCCCTCTGTTTCGTGCTTCTGTACGCTTCAGGATGAGTCTGGGATTTGGCAGGGCTTGATTGGAGTTTGTATGCATTGTGTGGGGGTTTTTTTGTTTGTTTTTGGAATTTTTTTCTCATAATTAGATTTATTTGCATATTTTTGGAAGAGAGTGAATGTATTACTCTCAAATCATATAGGAAGGGTCCTTATTGACTGAGTCCATTATTGTGTGTAGACTACAATCTCTTAAGATGTTCAGCCAGGCTTCTACATGGTAAAGTTACACTTTTTGTTCATCAGTAAGTATGTGTGGAGAATATAAACCCTGACTTGTATGTCAGCTTGTCTGGAAAGCTCTATCATTTGTTGTTCTTGCCTGACTCAGTTCCTACATAGTGGCCATTGTGACTGCAAGGAATGTTGTATATACCCCACTTAAGCTATATAAAGGCTGTGTGTAAGTGAAATTATCAACATGGTTGAGCTTATGAATATTTGTCAAACATGGTAATGTATAACTAAGCCCATAGTGAATGTATATTATCTTTAAGCATATATGGAATAGTTAAGAGTCTCAAAAATACATTTCTAAGTGGTATGTATTATTAGTATATTGGGGTCAGAATACAACAATGCAGCTCTGGATGGTGGTGGTGCACCTTTAATCTCAGCACTTGGGAGGCACAGACAGGTGGATCTCTGAGTTCCAGGCCAGCTTGGTCTACGGAGCAAGTTCCAGGACAGGATCCAAAGCTACAAAGAAACCCTGTCTCAGAAAAAGGAAATACACCAATGCTATAACTTAAAAATAGGCCCACGCTGGAAGGGAGTGGAAATATTTAACACCTGGGAAGGAATTGCCAGGGATAAGAGCATCCAGAGGATGAGTCAGATGACACAATCAGCAACAGGATGCCCTTAAAACTGTCCTCAGGGATGAGCCATAGTGAGAAGGGAGGTGAACATAAACTAATAGGCTAAATCCAGAGACTTAATCTTACAAAGTAAATAAGATATGGTAGGGTGTATCTATAATCCTGAGGCAGGAGGCTTGAAAATGTGAAATTGGCCTGGGCTACAAATTGAGAACTTGTTTTGTTTTGTTTTTTAAACAGTTGCAACTGGTTTCCTAAGTGTAGGCGAATTTACCAAAGAATTGAACCTAACATTTGCTCCTCCATTTGCCAGGTTGGGTATCGACAGCCTCTAGTTGCCGTCCAGGTCATCTTTGAATCTAATGCTACCAAGAAAGAAGTAACGGTTGAGTGCAAAATTGGAGGAACATACAACCTAAAAACCCAGGATGACCGGGACAAGTTTTTGGGACGAGTTGTGTTCAAAGTCCTAGTGAGCACCTAGGAGTAGGGGTCTCCAAAGAATACATGTTGTGTCAGCTGGACTGCCATTCTAGGATTATGAAGCCACCTTGGAGGAGGTGGTGTGGTACACACACTGGGATGACATCATAGCGTGCTTCCAGATCATAGTGTTCAGTGTCCTCTGAAGTAACTGCCTGCTGCCTCTGCTGCCCTTTGAACCAGTGTACGGTCGCCAGATGGGGACCAGTGAGCTCCTAATTCCAAACCTGCAGAGTGGGAGTCTCGTCTTCTGTGTGTAATTGCCAAACGTCTAAAGCTTAATGTGCTGTGCTGTGTAAATATTTTATGGATTTAACACTGGTAACTGTCATATTTTGATGCCAACAAAGTTTTAGGGATAAAATGGTACCTTGCCAACATAAAGTGACTTTTAGCTGCAAGAAATGTGTGAGAAGTTCTGTATGTGAGAAGGAAAAAGAAAATAAAAGTGGATCTGAAAGTATTAGCTTCGATTCTGTGTATGTGTGAGTGTGTGTGTCTGTGTCTGTGTGCTTTAAATTCTTTTTAAATGCTGAATGAGACTGGATCTTTTTATTGTGAGGACGAGCCTTCTGTTGTTAAGCATTTTAAAATACTAATGGGGTGATTTTGAGTTGTGAAAATCAAGTCTTCCACATTCATGTATCTTATCTTAGACCGTGAATGAAAGAACATTTTTAACTTAGGTGAATGTACACCAGGTTTTTTTGTTTTGTTTTGTTTTTTTAATGAAATGAAATGAAATTCCCAAGACATAAATTGTATAGTTTTTTTTTTTAATGTCTTGTTACTGCTTTTATTTAGCAGAATATGGACCCTAATAAAAATGTAAATTGTGAAATACAAAAACTTCAAACTGGTTCAAAGCTCAGAACACATGATGGAGTCTTCTTTTGGATCTTGGCTGGTACCCTGGACTGTCCCTGCACTTTTAGGGGAACTTGAGCATCATAACTGGAGCTCCTTTCTCTCTGTCCTGAGTAAAGGATCTCCCGTTAGACCTGTGGGTTTCATTTATTTTTAAAAAGTTTATTATTTTTTTGTGTTTCTTAGTTTGCATTTATGCACACCACCTGAGTGCCTGGTGAATGTGGAGGCCAGAAGAAGGCCTTGGGTCCCCTGGAAAACTGGAGTTAACAGATGGTTGTGAGCAGCCATGTGGGTACTTGGAATTAAACCTAGGCCCTCTGGAAGATCAGAGCCCCTCTCCAGCCCCTCTTATTTTTTTTAAGTTGATTTTTATTTTATATGCATCGATGTTTTGCCATGGGTTTTAGGTCCTTTGGAACTGGAATTAAATACGGTTTTGAGCTGCCATGTGGATGCTGGGGATTGAACCCGGGTCATCTGGAGGAACAGCCAGTGAGTCATGTTAACCACTGAGTCATCATCTCTCCAGCACACCACCTGCAATTATTTATTTTTTAAGAGCTGAGCTATTTTATCATGGTTGGTTGGTGCAGAGCCACTTATGGAGGTTTTTTGTAGACAGACCGCAGCAGGCTCAGGTTGGCTATTTGGGAAAGCTGAAGGGATTCGGTAATCTTGCAAGGCAGACGGGGCTTCTATGCTTTGGAGATGGGCGTGGGTCCTAAGAAGGAGAGCTCTGCTCATGGTTGCACTGTGCACCTTTTCATTGCAACAATACTCGGTGATTCTTGCCAAACTTAACCCTTTTGTGGACTTGGGCTTTTTCCTTTGTGCTTTTTATATCTTTTGATTTTGCTTTGTGGCCTCAGATGGCCTTGTTAGTCACTGATTTATTGCTGTGAAGAGGCACCATGACCTAGGCAACCATTATAAGAGAAAGCATTTAACTGGAGGCTTGTTTACAGTTTCATTATTAAAGTGATGGGGAGCCTGGTGGCATGCAGGCAGTCACTGAAGCAGTAGCTGAGAACCTCATCCTGATTACAAGCAGAAGAGACTGGGCTTTGTGTAGGCTTTTGAAATGTCAAATCCCACCCCTAGTGACATTTCCTCTAAGGAGGCCACACCTAATCTTCAAACTGCCATTTTCTGGTGACTAACCATTCAAATATGTGAGCCTTTGGGGGCCATTCTTAAACAGTCATCCTGCCTCCACTTCCCAATTCCTAGTATGAATTAATGTAAAGTAAGGCCTTTGGTGGTGACGCCTTTACTCTTAGTACTCAGGAGGCAGAAGCAAGTGGATCTCTGTGAGTTTGAGGCCAGCCTGGTCTACAAAGCTATACAGAGAAACCCTGTCTAGAAAAAAACAATAACCAAAAAAGAAAACAAAGTTTAAAGCAGAAGAGATTTGTAACCCATAACAAGAACGATGTTATCTGAAATGGGATGGATTTTGAAGAGAAGGGGCATAGATCTAAGTTCCAAAAATCTTACTGGTTCCTTTCCTGGATAAGTTTTGGACCGAGGCCTGCTCTGCCATTACTTCAGCTGACCCCATCTCCTGACTTCTTCCGAAGTCAGGAGAGCCTGCTCAGTTTGAAGCATCCTGACTGGAAGGGCACAGCCCACTGGAGTCCTTAAACTAGAAGGGAACGTGGCAGAGCGTGGTTCCACTGAGGCAGTGCTGTGCAAGGGGCAGGCATAAAGGTAGCACTCAGAAGGAATACATCATTCCCAGTGTCCCTCTGGGATTTCTGTGGAAATGATGTTTTGCGAGACAGTAGTAGGAGCTGGCCCTGTGTCCTGTGGGTAGACTTGGGTTTAGGAATGAACAGTAGTAGGTGGGTCTGTTCGGTGGATAGAGCTGGACTAGGAATGGAGGGAGAAGTTAGGATATGCACATAGTTGTCTGCGTTCCATCACCTTGCATGCTGTGATCCTGTCTATTCCAACAGCCTCCACTGCAGTCGGAGTAACCACCAGAGGGATGAACAGTCAGTCAGCTTCACACATCTGTCAAGTGCTTTACTGACTATGCTAGATGGCGTTTTTTTTAGACAGTTATTTGGCTGAATTGCAGTATTTTGAACTAGTGTGTAGTATTCCTAACTAAAGGAACCTTTGCGGGCACTCTTAAAAAGAGCTCCAAACTGTTTCCATTTGGGACTTGGAGTTGGCCGGTTTATTTTGGTTATAAATTAATGTCATTTTGTACCCCTTGAATACATGGGCTTCCAGGTTTGTCCTGTGTCTTGGAGCAGTTTTCTGCAACCTGGCACATGTGTGCTCCATCCTATCCAAAGGCTCTACTAGAATTCGTGGTAGTTTCCTTGGGGTTTGGAGATGAGATGAGGTTGACTGGTTTGTCTCCTACAAGATCCAGGTGTAGCGGGACTGCCTGGCACTAAAGGTGAAGCCAGCTCAGGGGAGACCGGCTCGGATTCGGGTGAGAATTCTAACATTAGTCTTCTTCCCTTTTGAACAAGAACAAGGAATTGGCTTTGAAATCTGTTTATATTTGGTTGCTTCGAAATTCTGGGTAAATTGCTTAACTGAGCTACAGTTATGTGTAAAATGAACACAACTCCACCCTTAAGAGTGTTCAGAGCACACCGTGCAGACATACTTAACAAGTGTTAAGAATGCCGCGCCTGCTTCCGAGGCCACAGATTTGTCCAGAGCATCATTGTAAACTAGAGACTACCTAGTGATTTTGCTACTCAGTTGGAGCATTTATTTGTGGCCCAGCGAGAGGAGTGGGTGGGGGCAGGGCCAAAAGCCTAGAAGCTCACAGAAATGGTTGGACGCCAGAACAAGCCATGCATAGTGTCTGGAACAATTCATGCGTGGTCTGGGTTTTGGCTGTTAGAAGTGACAGGATGGACTCGAATTTTAGAAACTATAAAAACTGATCTGGGAGTCAAGACAGGTACAAGCTGTTGTGTGAGCAACATTCATAAGGGATTATCCATCTAAGTCTGCCCTCGGATGGTTTTTGTCCTTGGAGTGACTAAGGGACCGTCATAAAACAAATTGCATTTGACTGTTTTACTAGCCAGCTAGTCTATCCCTGATAGGAATGTGCACCCTCTGCCTGGCCGCCAGTCTGGACCACATTGCCCTGAGAGTCTTGGGAGGCAGACGGCCCCTAGGAGAAGGATGTAATGGGCCTGGACTCTGACCACCAACTGCTGGATGGAGGACAATCTTTGACTTGGGTTAGCTGTGTAAAACTTAAACCATACTCTCAGCCTGGAGCTGCTTTAATGCTTATTACCGATCACATCTGGAACTATGGACCCTTGACAGAGCTGTGTGTCTTTGGGTAGTAACTTTCTCTTTCTTGGGAAGATTGTCTAGGAAATCAGGTTCTGTGCTTAGAGCAATGTCCAGGGATTACTATTATACGTTCCTTGGCTATCTATTTCAGTTAAAAGAATTACTCAGGAACAAAACCAAAACCAGTAGCTGAAAGAGTTTCATCCCCAGGGGCATTCCCTCTATTGCGCTTTTCTTGCTGTTTCTGTTACTTAGATTATGTGGCCCATGAGCAAACCTGGTCAGAAGAGGTTGTCAGAGCTCCTGGAACTGTGGTTAATGATGTTTGTGAGCCACCCTGTGTGTGCTGGAAACCGAACCTGGGTCCTCTGGAAGAGCAACAAATGCCCTTAACTGAGTCAAAGCTCCAGCCCCATGTATTAGTTTCTTCCTGTTGCTGTGAAGGCAATTTACAGAAGGAAGGGTCTATTCTGGGCTTATGGTTCCACAGGGTGAGGGAATGGCAGGCATGGCATGAAGCAGAGAGGATGGATGGCTCTCAAAGCCTGCCTCCAGTGACCGCTTCTTCCAACAGGACACACTTCCTAAGCCTCCCAAACAGCACCACTAACTGGAGACCAAGTGTACTGATGCCCAAAAGTATGGGGACATCTCTTTCAAACCCCACACTTGCCTTCTGTGGCTTTTACAGTAAGGAGAACAAGCTGTTCTGGTGACAGCAGAGGAGCAGCAGAAGGGCATCAGTCGCCTAGGGAAAGCTGCAGTGTCCTTGAGTGGCTGGGGGCAGAGGCAGCACAGAGCCAAGGTGGCAGTGAAGACTGGAAGACTACAAACTACGGCCAGGACTGCCAAGAGATGAAACTCCTGGGAGCTTCCTGACTTTGAAGGGATCGGACCCTGAGGCTTGGTGCTGGAATACTCCAGTGCTGCTGCTGTTCCTAGCAGCTGCTTGTAGCCAAGAAGTTCCTGGGTGGCCAAGGGCCAGGCTACCAGCGTTAGCACTCAGCTATAAGCACATCTGGAGCCATATATCTGTCATCTAAGACCAGAACTTGAAGTTTTTGGTTCTTAAGACTTGGAGGCAAAGAGTTCTGAGATGTTGGCACTGACACAAGAACTGCTCACATACATTTTCTACCCAGCCAGCTCAGCACATGTGGAACCCAAATATGATCTCTCCTTGCAAGAGACTTGGACCTCTGGGAGACCTTGGCAGTCTCTGTCTCTGTCCCTCTCCGGTTCAAGCCTTCTGAGAAGGTGCTGGAGAAGACAGCGTCAGAGCAAGCACATAGTGGTCTTGTTTTTACCTGTTTAGGGTA